GACCTAGCACAAGGATAAAAGCAGGGCGCGTACATACATACATGAAAATAAGTCAGGTGTACATCACTTGGGACGAAACATTAAGATTTATGGGGCTATCCCTAAACCAACAGTAATTACTTTCATACAAATATTATATCGTCATTTAAAGTACAAAACCGCGTATTTCATAAATTATTTTCTAGAGAGTAAAAACACTCATATTTCAAAATGTTTCTCGTTTTTATAAAGCAATCGCATTTCTGGCTAGTATATTTTAGGATGAATGGATAAGGCTTGAGCCAAGAGCTTGTGTGAGTAAATCCAATTTTTNTATGAACCTCTTTATTGATTACTTCGTGGAAACGCTAGTTTAGTATCTCAACGAAATAATGACCTTTTTTTAAAGTGTGTTAAACTTCCTACTTTTTGGTTACAGAGTACGCAGGACCATAAAAAAATCGGCGAAAGGTTCTTTTTACCAGACTTTGTGTTCGATATTTTCTTATGGTCACTGAACACAGATCTGAAGCCCGTTTCGATCCATCAGATCATAATTTTTTCCTAACCTCAAAATTATATATTGCACAGTTTCATCGTAAAAGTTACACTTCCTACCCTTCCCTGTTAGTACTCCTACCAGAAGTTTAGAGTCTGTTCTTCTTATTGATATTAAAAACTCAGTAAGTTTCTTAGCGTATGAACCGCACATAATCTTTATATGTTTGCAACTCTGATCTCTTTTCCAAACCCTAACCGCCTTTGTAATCTTTTGATTTCCTGAAAAGGAATTTTTTTATATCCTTCACTAGGGACGCAACGTCCACTTTAACTAACTTTTCCTCTCTCTCATTGCCTACCGTACACTTTTGTTCTGGGACCCAATATAGGTGGACGGTTTTAGCCGTAGTTAGCCTTCTCATAACTTCCTTACAGTATGTGATTCCCTATTTAAATGTTAATTTTCGCTTTATTTATAGCAAATACCTCCACTTGTTGGATACTGCAATCATAGCTTAAAGTATCTATGAATTTCCGGTTCGGTGGAGTACACTGCAGCACCGACCTATTCGTCCATTTTAGAACCGTCTGTGTAAATGAGTCAACCGACAACCTCTATATTAGCTATTAGCGACTTTTCAAAACCCAGACGGGGGATCACGTAGTCTGTTCTCCCCGTCAAGATTGACGCTATACTTGGTGGTAAAACATGCCTGTTTTTCTAGCCGGAAAACAACTCGTGTAGTGCTTCACGATGAAGGTATGTAAGTTTGCTTAATGCAGCCTACGAATAGTTTGCATAGCCATTCTAAAATTTTATATCCCGCTGGAATTCACAAGTGGTTTGGTTTAACCTTGGGCGCTTCCCTAGGGCACGAACCTTTAAAAACATTTACTAAGGAAGGTGTTAATTGGTTGTTGGTTTCTAGGACCTTCTAAGTACCTACCAGTTTTCTATTAAAACTACTCGCTCGGAAGAAAGGTTTATATGTCTATGCTATGATAAAGTAGTGACTCACCCCATTCGTTAATTTCGCGACAGCCGTAGATGGTATGATGGGCGTTTTAGTCCGCCCTACTATTTGTTGTCGTCTGCGCTTAAAGTCTTCAACCAGGGTCCTCAACTCGGTCGGTGGAGCTTCAATATTGTGCGCCATGTAGCAGAAATCTGTGACCTATTTCTCCCGTTCGGTAGACACTTCCACCAAGGCCTCTGTGCTGTAATTAGACATTAGGTAAGTGCAACTTCTTTCTTACCACAATCACGGCTCTTACCCTGCCCTCTAACTTCATATAGTATGAGCAGAACTTCGCTGAATTAAGTCCGCCAGCCGCAAGTCGAAGCTCTTGGCCCAAGCCCACGTCGAACGACTCCTCATCCACCGTTATGAGGAGCTCGTTCGAAGCAAATTTATTGTATTGAAGATTTACTTGAAGGACCCTCAGCATCAGCGAGTCGCTCGTCCTTCATCTCATTCTGCACTTCTAGTACCTCATCACCATC